TAAACTGTTGTCTTCAATACCTTGTATACTCTCCCTAATCCTCGTTCAGTCCAGCAATTTCATAGAATTAGTGCACGATGTAAAATCTTGCTCATGAACCTTCAGAAACCACCTTCAGAAAGTGACGGACAACACCACCCTGTCATATTACTAGCGAGCCCTCGCATCAGCAGCATTTTGTATGGAGTTCTTAAAAAAACTTGAAATAAAAATAACGGTGCTTGGCAAATTCAGGATGATAACTCACCATTGAGGATGACATTCGCTTAAGACGTTAATTTTAATTGCTTTCTTCAAAAGCGAAGTGCATATAATATTTCATAACTGTTCATATATGATCTTTATCATATTTCACTGCTCTATAGGGTTTCCTCTTTCCCCGAAGGGTAATTTTGATTTAGTTATTACATGGTTTAGTGTTTTTGGCTCTTTATTTCTGTATTTTCGTTTCCAATTCTAAAAGGTTGCCAGGGCATGATCACTACACAATGTAGTGTAAGTCCCTTATCCCTCAACTGAACTGTTTCGAGTTATGGATGTGCCGTGAACGTCAGTCGACAGTCCGCCAGTATTCTCTGTTCGCCGGTTCCAGACCCACATCTTGCCGTGCAACTTGAATATCGGATTGTCCTTAATTTTTCTTGGATGACCGAGTGAATGATTCTGGTCCAGCGAATGGCAAAGAACTCGAAGTCACGAGAGGTGGATACCGGTGCATAAATTCATTAGGTGAGAAATCAGTAGAAGGAGGCATCATGGGCCAGCTTTAACCGCATTAAAGCATCGATGCTTGACAGTGAACTGTCCATGTATGAGGAAATGGAATGAACCACAACCTAACTAGCTAACCGTAGCTAACCAAGCTCTACGACGCTGAATGCTAGTTCATTACCAAAGCCGACGATAAAAGACTGATAATCACTCAAAGAGTAATGAAACGAAAACTGTGCAGGGTTTTTCTTCAGATCACAAATTCAGCTATAAAATAGATTAGTGGACGTGATTTCTGCCTTCTGTGATGTTGAGGGAAGTTGGGTCCGTCTTGCAATCCGCTTTAGAGACAACCAATGGACGTCAAGATTTACAAATTGAGTTTAACGAAAATAAAAAATTAAAGGTAAATACTGTAACAATTTACGTACGTAATTATAAATAAACTTCAATGCTGAACTTGATGATCAACAACAAGCAAGAACCACGCACGTGATCACTCCTGAATATTCTTTTGATCTGAATGCCTATGCCTATTAATCAAATCAGATCAGTTCGTATGAACAGGAATGTGCTTGACGTGACAATATCAACGATAACGGATATTATGATTTACGGTCATTAATATGTCACCAATAAGTTCGATGTCATTGGGGCAGGTATTAACGTCACAGATGTCATCTTACAACCGTAAGTTCATTGTACCTAAATTATCGTAGCCCACTTTCCTACAGGCAGCGTAGAGTTACACTTAGATTTACAGTTATTGCTAATTACCGTACATCGTTCATAAGATAACCTGTACAATAATTCATTACGAGTCTAATCTTTGGCGGTTTAATGCAAGAAGGCTCTGAGCACACTTTGTACATTGCCTTCCTCTGCATTGATGATGTAGCCAGGATGATAAAAGTAGCGCTCATAGCCATAGATGAAGAAAAAGGGTGTGGGGCTTCGAAACACATCGTAGGGTGTTATACATATATATTATATTTCTGTCTGATATTCATGATCAAAGCTCAGATGTTAGTTCAGTACGTTTCTCGCTACATATTCTTATTGTAGTTTC